TCAGCAGAAGTATCTTCCTCAACGTTGGGAGGATTAAGAAGTGGGGTTGGGGAACCAGTTGGCATTCCCAGGACTCATACTCCCCGTGCTAATTTCAGTGATCACACAGACCAACCAGGGGCTCATGAACTCAGACAAAGGGAGGGGCAGTGATTTGGAGCAGCACATGTTTGGGAAAACGGGGCTAGAACTAATGTCACAGTGAGGAATACAAACCAAAGATTAGAGCCAATAGGATTATGGTCTTCCTTCAGTAGTAGAAGCCGTTCACCAATCCAGAGACAGAGTGACACCGCTCATCATAGTTCACAAAGGGAAAGCAGGCCTTCACAGCACATCACTAGAAGTTCTGTTAGGAAGAGAGGGGTAACTCGTGAGCGTGATAGGGACCCCAGAGTTACTCCATACACCCCATTCTCTAATTCAAGACTTGTGTCAAGAACTACCGTGGAAGAAGGAGAAGAACCCACCAGGTCCTCTTCTCCTGTGCGACGACATCCAACAGTCACCCTGGACCTTCAAGTCAGAAGGATGCGCCCTGGAGAAAACAGAGATCAGGACAGTATTGCAAATAGAACCCGATCCAGAGCAGGACTAGCAGAAAATACAGTCACTCTTGAAAACATTGGTGGGGGCTTTCGCCGAACCATTTCCCGTTTAGAGCAGTCAGGGATTCGAACCTATGTTAGTACCATAACAGTTCCTCTCCGTAGAGTTTCTGAGAATGAGCTTGCTGAGCCCTCCTCAGTGGCTCTGCGGTCAATTTTAAGGCAGATCATGACTGGATTTGGAGAATTGAGTTCTCTAATGGAGGCTGAATCTGAGTCTGAGATTGAGAGCGGTGGTCAGCATTTACCAGAGATGCCCTCAGACCTGAGGGGCTTAGGCACAGTCACCGGTAGCAGCCAGCACAGCGACTGGCAGGCCCAAGAAGACAGCACTGGAATGCATGTTGACAGTGACACCAGCCAGCCTCATGCCCAGCGAGGTGACGGTAGAGGTGACAGGCAGCCGAGGAGTGCAGACAGTGTAGTGGAAACTGGAGCACTACCTATCCTTCGCCTTGCTCACTTCTTTTTACTCAGTGAGGGGGATGGTGACGATCGCATACGGGGTTTAACCAAAGAGCAAATTGACAATCTTTCCACCCGGAACTATGAGCATAACGGTACTGACAGTGAGCTAAGCAAAGGCTGTAGTGTGTGTATCAGTGACTACGTGACTGGAAACAAACTCAGGCAGCTCCCTTGCATGCATGAATTCCACATCCACTGTATCGATCGCTGGCTCTCGGAGAACTGGACGTGTCCGATTTGCCCGCAGCCTGTGCTAGGGGGTCCGGCGTAGCCAACAGCGGAGGACGCGGTGGCCCCTGTTCAAATATTGCGTTTCAGAGGTGCTGCCTGTGCGAGCATTCTCTTGTTGACTGACTCGTGACGAATGAACCAGGATGCAATATAACAGATTACAATTTGAACTGTTGTTTTGTGTGTGCGTGTTTTTAACTTGTGAAGAAAGGAAATTTATATAAATTTCAAAGGCAAACATTAAATTATCTAAAAGTACAGAGGAGTTCATATTGCTAGAACCAAATAACCTTGAGAATGTTTTTATTTCGGTAATTTTGTCCTGCTAAACACTTTTGTATCTGCAGACTTTAGCGGGTAGAAGATCAGTCTTCTTTTTCTTAGGACTCCAGCAGGCTTTTCTGGGACTTTAATGTTTCGTGTACTCTGTCCACACATGGACATCCAAATAAGCCTTTCGTTAACTTTTTATGATAAAGACAATGTCTTTTCGTGGAAGAGTGGCTGGATGTTTGCTAAATGAATGTAAATTACTTGAAATGTTCTGCAGACCATATGTGTGTATATATAGAAAGAGAATTTTTAGGTTTAATTTCCAATCTGAAAATGACCACTTTGGTTCTTATTTAAGCTCGTTGGCTATTTCTGCATCTGGCACAATGCTAATATTGGCAGGAACATCTCTGGGAAGACGTAGATTAAGGTGTCATTTAAAAATAGAGATAATTTACTGGTGCGTCTCTGACAATCTGACTTATAAGACAAGCAATATGTAATATTGAATGAGTATTTTTCTTTATTCAGAAATGGAAAATGGAAGCTTTAGTATGTAGAGGTTATTTAACTTCAGTTCAGCCTTTTTGGTGACTTTTTTGGAAAGTGCAAATAATTCCTTGGGTTATTAAGTAAGGTACATAATATGCATGGTTTCTTGAATTTAGTTTTAAAATCTAAAATGTCTAAACAGAATCAAATGCATAGATGTGTTGAGTTCACTTGGAGGCCAAATTAAAAACAAACAAACAAACAACCTTCTAATAAAGCAAAAAGCCTTTTGAGAGAATATAAACTTTATATAAACACAAAGTATGCATTAAAGATCTATTTTTAACAATAAAAATAAATAAATAAAAGTGAGGTAATAGTTCCTCTGCCACTGCTTATTATTTTGATCAAATTGAAGGGACAGTATGATTAAATTTCTTATGTTTTGACCATAACCCTTAGAGTGCAGTAGTGACCTGTGCCAAAGCAAAGCAGCTGCTGTTGCATACCCCCTCATACCTTTGCCATAAATGCCTCTCAGAACTTCTAATTTGTCAAACCTGTGCCTGACTAGGCTTTTTCAAATATTTGAATGAAGGAGGCAGAGATCTGTTACTAAAGGATAATCCAGATAATCAGTAACTGGAGGCATGGTCAGAGAAGAAGGTCCACTGCAACGGGTGAATGGGGGTTCATGTATCTTATAGTCCACACTGTAAAGAAGGGAGCTCTGGTAGCATAGTGGCTAAGTCACTTGCCTGCTAACCAGACGGCTGGCGGTTCAAACCCACCAGCCACTCCTCGGAAGGAAGGTTGGGCAATCCTACTTCCGTAGTGATACTGCCTCGGAAACCCAAGGAGGGGTCGCTATGAGTCGGGGCCAACTCGACGGCACATAACAACAACAACAACAACTGTAAAGAAGGCTGACAGCCTCCATAATCCTTTCACCTATTATCCTCCCCAACCCTACATTACAATTAGGTTATCTTTTTGTGAATTCTTATCCCTCTTTGTAATTACTCTGGATATCCAGATTCAACCTGATTTCACTTGTATAAAAATATTGGTTTAGAGGATTGTGACACATTCAGTTACTCCAATACAAGTAAAATATCCTTTTACAATTAAATATTAAAATGTGTATATTCTCTGGCTTTAAGCATTCTTTGGTGTCAAGAAGAAAAAGAGACTATAGCTAACAAGCAAAACTAAACTTATTATAAGGACACAGGAAGCACACAAAATGGTTGAAGACTAGAAAACCTTGAGGGACTAGAAAGCCATTGCTTGTACTAAGAACCTTTGATTAGGATGTTGCTATCTTTCCTTGTTCCTCACATCAAGATTCAAATTTCAAAATGGGAACATTTCTTGGCCTAGCTTGAGTTCCATTCTAATTCCTTAATTGAGTAGAGAGCAGAGTACCAAATTATTGTTTACTAGACTGTATCCAGCCCGTAGGGGATAATTACTCAACAGGATATTGCATATGGTTAGAAAGGGGAAATAAAACATTTGTATAGTATATTAGTTAGGATTCTGCAGGGAAATGGAACCAATAAGATACACAATTATCTATCTTTATATACACGTATATGTCTTTGCATACTGTCAAGTCTATTCTGACTCATAGTGAACTACTATGGCAGAGTAGAACTGCCCCATAGAGTTTCCTAGGTTGTAATCTTCACGGGAGTTCAGTAGGTATTTTCTCTCAGAGTGGCTGATAGGTTCAATGCATTAAACTTGTTGTTAGTGGCACTTAACCACTGTGCTCCATTAATGTGGGCTCCATTAGATAGATAGATAGATAGATATTTAAAGGAATTGACTGGGTCACTTGATAGTTGTAAGGAATGTTGTTGCATTGTTGTTATGTGCTGTTGAGTCAGACCCAACTCATAGCTACCCCTCCTTGGGTTTCTGAGGCAGTATCACGACAGAAGTAGATTGCCCCATCTTCCTTCTGAGGAGTGGCTGGTGGGTTTGAACTGCTAGCCTTCTGATTAGCTACCAGAGCTCCTGTCGTAAGGAATGGCAAGTCCAAATCTGTAATTTAAGATACAGGCTAGAAACTCTGGCACTCTGTGTCCAAAAGCAGAAGGCAAGGAGATGGGCTGGGAACACTAGCAAGATAGCTATTGTACAGCCTTGAGGAAGAACTGAAAATTTCAATATTTCCTCTTACAGCCTTTAACAGATTGGATGAGGTCCACCCCATTATTGAGAGTAATCTCCTTTAGTGACTTAATTGTAAATGTTAATCACACCTTCAAAATACCTCCGCAGCAACATCTAGGCTAGTGTTTAACCAAACAATTGGATGCCATAGCCAGTCAAGTTGATAAAAAAAATTAACCACCAAAGACAGGCAAAAACATTGGGGTCTAGTGTTGCCATAACAACAACAACAAAAAAAAGCAAACTACAAATGGATGGTTTTAAAGACCAAGAATTAATTTTCTGGGAGTCTTGAAGTCTGCGTTCAAGGTGTTGGCTCTAGGGGGAGGTCTTTGTTTCTTTTGTCACATAGTGCCTGTCTTGCCCACATGTGCCATTTTGTGTCTGTGTTCTCCTTTATAAGACACCATTTAGAAGGGATTAAGTTTAGGATTCACCCAATTTTGGTATGACCTCATTAATATAAGAAAAATTCTATTTCCAAACAAAATTTCATTCATAAGAACAGGGATTGAGATTTCAATATATACTTTTTTTTTTTTTTTGGAGGGGGGTGGCACACAATTAAAAACACATAGCCATTCAGCAAGCCATTTAAGTGAGATATTGACACAATTATCTGGAGGTCAGGAAATATAGTAATCTCCATTAAATTTCAGTTGAGCTTTCTCTCCCTCTCTATATATTTAGGTGATATTGAATCTTCAATCTCTCTTTCTTTCTTTTTTTTTTTTTTTAATACAGGTGACACTCCCAAATCTTTTCAGTGTCATTGATTATTTTGTGAAGGAGACTCGAGGAAATTTAAGACCATTTATATATTCAACTGATGAAAACTTTGGTATGTTCTTCATTTCACTGCTATGTTAAGTAAAACAAAGCAATCAAAAAAACCTCTGCTTATTACTTGTAATACCAGCCAGGTAGAAACACTTGTTTAGCCTTTAATTTATCTATTTGTCAACAACTCTGTGAAAATATAGGAGCTTTAATGTGTCGTGATATCTTGAGTTATTGAATAGGCCCATTCTAGCCCTGAGGCATATTGTGTCTAGAAATTTTGTTTCATCATTTTTGCCTTTATCAAACAAGTTCAGTGATAAGGGAAAAACAAAAACAAAAATAAAACTTACTGCCATCTAGTTGATTCTAACTCATAGCAACCTCCTTTGGGTTTCCAAGGCAGTAAATCTTTACAGAAGTAGATTGCCCATTTTCTTTCCATGGAGTGGCTGGTGGGTTTGAACCACCAAGTTTCTGGTTAGCACCAAATTTATATAGAGTCATGCAAACCAAATAGGGAATTTAAAGGAATGGTATGTCAGCAATATCAAATGCTCCAGACAGGTTAAAATAGATGAAGATTAAGGAGAGACTATGGCAATCAGCTATTAAACAGTAGATAATATAAGAGATTGATGCCAAGAAATTTGAAATACAGCTACTTGGCCAACCGACTGGAAGAGATCCATATATGTGCCCATTCCAAAGAAAGGCAATCCAACAGAATGAGGAAATTATTGAACAATATTATTAATATCATAAGCAAATATATTTGCTGAAAATAATTAAAAAATGGTTGCAATGGTACATAGACATGGGACTGTCAGAAATTCAAGTCATTTTTGGAAGAGGAAGTGGAACGAGGGATATCATTGCTGATGTCAGATGTAGCTTAGCTGGAAAGGAAAGAATACCAGGATGATGTTCACCTGCATTTTATTGACTAATGCAAAGGCATTTGACTGTGTGTATCATAAATTATGTATAATATCGCAAAGAATGGGAATTCCAGAACACTTAACTGTGCTCACAAGGAATCTGTATGTAAACCAAGAGGCAGTCAGTTGTCTGAACAGAACAAGGGGATACTGCATGGTTTAAAATCAGAAAAGGTGTGTGTCAGGTTGTATCCTTTCACCATACTTATTCAATCTGTATGCTCAGCAACTAATCTGAAAAACTGGACTATATGAAGAAGAACACAAGACTGGAGGAAGACTCAATAACAACCTATGATATGCAGATGACACAATCTTGCTTGCTGAAAGTGAAGATGACTTAAAGCCTTTACTGATGAAGACTAAAACTCTAGCCTTCATTCAGTATGATTACACTTAACATAAAAAAAAAAAAAAAAAAACAACCTCACATGGGGACCAAGAAGCAACATCATGATAAATGGAGAAAAAAATTGAAGTTGTCCAAGACTAGATTTTACTTGGATCCACAATCAACAGTTATGGAAGCAGCAGCAAAGAAATCAGGCATCATATTACACTGGGCAAATCTGCTGCAAAAGACCTCTTTAAAGTGTTTAAGAGGGATTCAAAATGGAGGCTCTGCAGTGAGCAGCACATTTTTTTTTTCCCCCTCTGGCATCTAAGGACTTTGAAAACTAGGTACGACAGTTTGAATTAGGAACTTTGGTGCTCTGAACAGCTCACTGAATTAGAGTGCACCAAACACAGAAAAGCAGAATTAGAGGAAAGGCACAGGGAGATTATTTAGGAAAGAGCTACTGCCGGAGGATGGACGGGCACCCGAGAGAGACCATTGGAAACCTTTTGGGGCAGTCATGACTGCCAAGCAAGGGAGGCCGCCTGAGATCCCTGAGCCAAGAACAAAGTCACCTTATAGCAGCTTACCAGCAACCACTACAATATCCCAGCGGGCAGCAGCAGAGACCTGCCTCCAGCAGCTGATTTTTATTGGTAATTTGGGTGGTCTGGGTGCAGGTGGACACGGGCACACTGCTAGATTCAGGTAGAGATGTGACTGTTGTGCCAGAAAGGCTAGCTCCCTCCCCTCCCAGTGGATCACAGAGTGGGCTTGGGTCAGACTAGGAGACGCCGTGCTTTTCTTTGCCATGGTTATCGAGACTGCAGGTCACTAGCAGGTTCTCCCCCGACTCCACCACAGCTAAAATTGCACGCATCTTTGGCGCCACAGGTGGGCGGTATCACAGACAAACTCCAGAGCCAACCATTACCGGTCTGGTGGGATTGTGTCAGCACCGCGGGCAGACAGGGCACAGAGAGCAAAAAAACTGCAGCTGAGCGTGGTCCCACGAATTTTGCCTTGGAGCCGTGCTTTGGCGCTATGGGGCCGTGGAGGCGGGGTCTTTGAGTGTGCTTGAAATTGGCAGAAATTTGTGACGCTCTAACAATAGGAATCTTTCCTGAGGTTGAGCTGCAGTCTTGCAAATAAATATGTCATCAATAATAGCCTGCTCAGGTACTCCCCTGACTCCAACACACCTGAAATTATGTGCATCTTTGGCGCTGCAGGTATGCAGTATCACAGACAAACTCCAGAGCCGGCCATTAGCAGTCTGGCGGGATTGTGTCAGCACTGCAGGCAAATGGGACATGGAGTGCAAAGAAACCACAGCTGGGGGTGGTCCTGTGAATTTTGCCTTGGAGCCACACTTTGGCACTGTGGGACAATGGAGGTGGGGTCTTTGAGGTGTGCCTGAAATTGGCGGAAATTTGTTACCCTCTAACAATAGGAATCTTTCCTGAGGTTGAGCCATCGTCTTCCAAATAAATACATCATCAATAATAGCCTGCTCAAAGCCCTAAAAACCAACCCTAACAACACCAAGCTTTCTTTCTTCTGCTCCCAACTTCTCGGCAATTAACTTCATTCATTCAATAGAAGAAACTATATTCAGCCACTTACCATAAAACCTCCTGCTTTGAACTCTAAACCCTCTTTACGAAAAACAGAAACACATATCCACACTACACACAGTGATTCCACCATCACAAATAAAACAGAACAGCGACCCAACACACCTGAATCAATAATAAAATAAAACACATCAGCTTCACCTTTTCAAAATATTAAACCATAAAACCAAGACAAAACAAATCAACACATAATCAGCACCTACAGACAACCTAAAGAAACAGTGCTCTACCAGATTCCAAGGGCTTAAGAAGAGGTTCTGCTTTCCAGTAACCCCAAGAACTCTCTGGACCTGTACTACAC